CGAATCCACGTAAAACTGGCTGGTTGAAACGTAACAGAGCTCAGTTGGTATGGGTGCCGATCACATGGAAAGCAAGAATTGGATCTGAAGTCAATTTATGGGACCCGAAACGCAATGCGGCATCTCAGTAGTGTTATAAACGAAGATTCTAAGGGACTGGACGAATATAAATCATAAACATATTGTGAGTCCTTAACAGGACTCGAAAACGAGAAGGGATTCATTAAAATGCTCTCTATAAATAGACTATGGGACTAAAGTGAAAATTGTCCCTGTTTTTAACTATCTAAGCGCTACGCCATGAAGGCGTATGGGGCAGTGGATTTATATATCCATATTTTCATCAATTCAGCACTATTTGGAGGTGAGTGGTCAGCTTCACGCCCCTGCTGCTTTATCCCCGGGGAAACAGCACTAAGTACCCATTGAATAGAAGGCTGGGTGGGCTCCAGAGCTGGTCTGGACGACGTGGAGAAGAGAAAATTATTGACCCCACCGGAATTCGAATTCAAATACCTCCGTCATCCAACCCGTAGCCAGTCGCTATACAGACTACGCTATCCCGGCTCCTTGGACCTGGGAACTCTTGAATTAACTGGGGGACAGGCCTCTCTACTGCGCACTGTAATTTGAAATGTCACGCCTTCAAATTGGATCCAGTCAAAGACGCCACTTGTCAACGGTGACCAAACAAGCAAGAAGCAGTATCGCATTACCCAAGCAACTGTGAGGCCTCAGCGAAGTTGAGATTTCGTCCCCTGAGTCTCAAGTTTAAGGAATACTGTGACTACTTAGACAGCCATTAAGTAAAGTACTATACATCATCGAAACTTACAGGACTAAGCAGGAGCTACACAATAGATCGAAAACAGTTGCAGTGTCAGGGTCGGTTTGGCTCACCCATCATTCATTATGCTTTGTACCAGTGAGCTGAAATGCCTTTGCTCCATCCCTACTCCTCTGATCACTCTGTCACTCTTTGTCATCCTTAACTTTGTGCTTATCTGTCACATTACTACCTACACATTACACCTCCTTTCTTCTGTATTTCTCACATCTTTGTCTGCTTCCTTATGCCCTTTACTTCCTTCATTACGTACATCTTTATTGTTCCAATGTTTTTTCAGTGTCTCTACGCATCTTTAAGCTCACATTTGTGTGGCCCCATATATTTGTTCCAGCTTCACTTTTGCAGCCATAACTTTCAAAGGTCCACTGTTTTTTTAGTCATGTCAGGGGGTACCTTGTTGGCCCATTGTGGGGTTTAAGGCACAATGCCCATCACATTGTGTTAAATGGCCTTGTAATAACTATACTGGTTTCCAACGGAAAATTAATATTGGACTCTACGACAGATGATCATACAACCTTCACATATTTTGTCACAAGGGACCCTTGATTTTTTCTAAATTTCTATAGTCTTCCTTAATAACTAATAACTGAAATTTAGAGCAGTTCTATCCAGCGACGTCAAGTACCTTGGACTAGTATTAGACAAGGGACTGACATGGAGAAAGCAGCTGGACAAAGTTATTAACAAAGCCTATAAGGCTTTTTGGACATGCAGGGGCATGTTTGGTAAAACTTGGGGACTACAGCCGCACGTTGTACATTGCGTATATACTGCGGTTGTGAGACCCATAATTACTTATGGTGTCACAGTATGGTGGCCCAGAGTTAAATTCAAGACTAGCAAGACAGAACTTGGCAAATTGCAAAGGTTGGCTTGCTTAGGTATAACAGGAGCATTTCGAACATCTCCAACAGCTGCACTGGAGATACTTCTTGGACTCCCCCCACTGCATATACAGTTGGATGCGGAGGCCAAGGCAGGAATTTACCGTCTCCAGTGCAGTGGACAATGGAAACCTAGATCTGATGGTTTCGGTCATGCAGACATGACCCAGGACATGAAAAAAGAACCCATATTGCAAATTGGGTCTGACAACACGATACTGAGACATGTATATGAAAAACCCTTCACGGTCAGATTTCCTGACAGGAGTGAATGGGAAAACGGGTTTCAGCCCGACAGAAAAGGGGGACTGATCTGGTATACAGATGGTTCCAAGACAAATAAGGGCACTGGAGCTGGTGTGTACTGCCATGGCACGAGGCGGAAACTTAGTTTCCGCCTTGGGCGGTACACGACAGTATTCCAGGCAGAAGTATATGCCATTAAAGCATGTATTATGGAGAATTTAGATAGGAACTATAGAAATAGGAACATCTACATTCTATCTGACAGCCAAGCTGCACTTAAAGCTCTTGACAAACACCAGATTAATTCAAAATTGGTCTAGGATTGCCACAAAACCCTCATGGAACTGGCCAAACATAACAGGGTACAACTGATATGGGTGCCAGGGCATGAGGGTATTGCTGAAAATGAAGCAGCAGACCAATTAGCTAAAATTGTAGCTGAACACCCGTTCATAGGACCTGAACCAGCCTGTGGCATCTCTCTAGGAGTTACCAAACAGGCAATCAGGGACCGGACTAACATGAAACACAAGGAATACTGGGAATCCTTAACTGGACTCAGGCAAGCAAAGGGACTCATACGAGGACCTTCTGCTAAAAGAGCGAAGGAACTGTTGAAGCTCAACAGGAACCAGCTACAATGGGTTGTAGGACTACTTACACGACACTGTCACCTCAAAGGACACCTGTCCAACTGGGACTGAGTGATAGTCCCACCTGTGAGAGGTGTCAGCTAGAAGATGAAACAGCCACACACATCCTGTGCGAATGTGAGGCATTAGCTTATTTAAGATTACGTCACTTGGGCCAGTACTTCATGGAACCAAGTGACTATTTTGATGTCCCCACGTCCAAGATCCTGCGCTTCATCCGAAGCGTCGGGTTGTTGAGGGAGTAATTAAAAAAGGGGAAGCACAATAGACCTAAGGTCGCGGTGCAAGGGCCGAGAAGGTCTAAGCCTCATATATTCTTCTTCTTCTAGAGCAGTTCTATCTTCTAGGACGAAGCGCCGTGTAGTCCGTTGAAAGTCAACTGATGTTTCGACGGAACATGTGGCAGAGCTTGCTGCCTGCTCCATTGTGGTTTCTTGCTTGGCTTATTTTGACCCTGAAGATGGAGGCGACATGTTCCTCCAAAACGTCGGTTGACTTTCACTGGACTACATGGTGTTATATTCAACAACTCTTAAGTAATCACGGCTGTAAGAAGTTGAAATTCAGGTTGGTTTCCTTGTAAGTTTCAACTCATTTAACATCTGAGTATGGAATTGTAACCTATTTTAATTATTTAACTTAAAGCAGACATTATGTAACCACTGACCTGCACTGATAAACACTTTCTTAAATTTATATATGAATTTACAGTTATTTGTGGACTGATTATAACGCATTATTTTTACACTTCCATTTCAAAGCAATGTATTTACTTGTATTTATTTACGTTCCAAAAATCCAAGTACAGGTTGACACCATAGGCTATGGAACAAATCAAGTACAAATACATAATATCTGTACAATTATAGTTTTGCCTGAAAAGTTAATACGATCATGATACAGTATTAATATTACAATGCTAATTGGATACATACAGTACAGTCTGCAAACAAGCAAAATGAGACAGTAACATGCCTGGGAATACACTTTAGCTTAAAACTGATACCAGCTACTGTTTGTTTACATTGAAATATTCATCTATGGAGTAGGAGTGAGTAAGTGACGTTTCAGTGCTGTTTTAAATTGCTTAATGTTACCGATTGCTTTTTTGAAGCTTTGAGGGAGGATATTATACATGATGCTGAAGGAGTGAACTCCTTTTTGATATAGAGATAGATTTGTTTAATGTTGAAATTGAGTTTTTGCCTCATATTTATGTGATGGATGTCCACTAATCAGTCTCATGAAAGAGTTAATGTCTAATGTTCACCCACAAATCTGGGTTCCATTGAAAATCAGAATTCAGTAATTTATCATGTCAACTGCTGACATGCTAACATCTGATTGCTCTAATTTTGGGGTCTTGTGACGCAGTATATACTTGTATTTATGTATGGTCATATATCTGAGTAAGTCTTTGTCATAAACAGTATGCGCCAAAAGATGCAGTACTGAAACTCGCACATCTTGAACGCACATGTGCGTTTGTCGACGGGGCATAGCTCCAGCCGCACGTGTTCCCAGTAGTGAAAAGGAAGTTGCATTGTGCACCTGTTGTTGGAAATGGGTCTCTCGATGGAGGAAAAAGTATTCATAGTTGAGCATTATTTCCGCTCATATGGAAGTGGTCACCAGACAACTCGCTTCCTTGGTTTTCAGCAGCTAGATGTTATCGTTCAGAAACCACTACCTAGTACACATGACGATATGGTGTGCCATCTCAGCACATGGTATATTAAGTCCCTATTTCATTGAGGGTGAGGAAGACAATGCTTTTACCGTCACCCAAGAACGCTACAAGGACATGGTGATCGGACCATTTCTTCAGGATTTGAGAAGGTTCTGTTGTGCAAGGGGCCTTCACATGAATAGACAGTGGTATCAGCAGGACGTCTTCATTTTGGTACTGTATATTTTGGTGCACACTGTATGTAGCAGAGAGGGCAGGGCATTTGAAATGCTTCTGTGTGTGTCATGCAAATATTGATCCATAATTGTATTTAGATCAGTATTCTTAAGAGGAGTTTGACAAAGACAAGGAAGTCACCTGTTTGTAACATGATTTACTCAGTTCACAAGAGATCTGGAAGAACATGCAGTGATGGTCAATGGAGGGCAGGAACAATCAGAAGACAGAATCCAGTATTTACAAGCCCTTCCATCTCAGATTACAAAGAGGCACCTAGTATCAGTGAATATTCTTTCCCACTATAATGCATTACTCTGTCATGTCAGACTCTGGTGTCTTAACTGTATACAAGGGCTTAGGATTATTTCGCTACCAAGCTCTAGGATTTCATATTTTTTACCAGGGAAGTCCAAATAAAGTTGAACAATAATGATGATGATGACAACAACAACAACAACAATTAAATTTTTTATTTTTCCATCCTAACTCAACACCTACATACAGGAGCCAATTACAAAGTTAGCACAATCGCATGATCAAAAAGCAAATGAGAACAATACACATACATAGGATAAATTCTCACATAAAACATTCTACTCTGCAGTAGACACAGGATAAGAATAACTTCACATGAACACTGAATGCAACAAAATACCATAACTACCAATTAGGAATGTTACCATAAGATTGGTGTTAAACAATGGACACTGTTAAAAATTTAATTTGTCATTAAGGTGCAGTAAGTTGAAGGATGTTTATTTTGTGACAAAAGGAAGTAGGTACGGGATTAGGTCTCATGTTTCTGGCTGGAATTCTGATACCAGGAATTTATAGAAGTGAATGGTGGGTAACAAAAAACTGTTTGTGAATTCCTTGTAAATAATGCCCCAAAATAACACCATCTCTATCAAAAAGGTGTGTAATTTTACATTATCCAAAACATACTTACTACAATTGCATGAAATATAATTCTTAAAGAAACAGCTGTAACATATGGTAGGAACTTTCCCTGGACATGTTCTAGCTCCCTGGAGTCAGTGCCTGTATGAGAATTTCCAACAATAAAAGCACTGTCAAGTTTTGTTCTAACTATACACACAGTGCAACAAAAAACTGTATTATGAAAGAAAGGAGAAAGTAACAATCCGTACTAGACCTAACACCTTTATGATATAAAAAATTAAATACTGTACATGCTGATGAAAATAAAATCTAGACTCAAGAAAAACGCAATTTGTATGCAAAATAACACAGGTACACAGAATGTATGTCAGAAAACCAATTTAATTTTTCAGAAGAAAGAGCAGCATCACAAAGATTCATGGTGATGGTCTTTCAATTATTTTAGTGTAGTCCATTGATTTTGGTTTCGTTATGAACATAAAACTGTGTCCCCGAAACACCAGAGGCTATGGCGGCGATGTGTGTGTCTAGGCCTAATAGTATGTGAGCAGCCTTGGCTATTTGCTTCTGTGTGAAACACTAAACTACAGACATATGATGCAAGCTATATTTGACAACAGCTATTCCATTAGTGTGTGATAATAAAATTAAATTTCAAAAAGTGTGGCATTAAAATTAAGAATACAAATCTGAAAGGATCATTTCACCTATGCAAGCAACATCAGTGAAATCCATAACTGCTAAGACAAATTCTTCTGCCTTGTCTTGAACTCTAGACAATGTGTCTGGATCCATATGAAGGGTTCCCTTCCAGTGGACTTAGCCCATGGACCAATGATCTAACCTTCTTCAAGGGTTCTGTAATGAATGTATCCATTTCACTGTAGAATGTGGTTTAGAAAGCCAGTCAGTACAGCAGTAAAATTACTGTGTGAGAGAAACAAAGGGAAAAGGATTAAATATTGCATGTGCCACATACTAGGCTTAAGTTTTAACAGGTGGTAGCAGCTGGATGTGACATACGCACTCCTGGTCGTGGTGGCAGCTAGCGACGGCACTGATGGTGGCTGGTGGTGGTGGCAGGTGCTGGCTGCTGAAACTAGAACTGCTAGCAGGTGGCTGTACTTTGCCTAGCTTAATCAAATGCATGATCAATTTCAAGTGAAAAAAGAGTAGGCTGTCACTGATATGGTTTTGAGGACTGCCTTCTGACTGGCAAACTGCATAGCTTGGGAGAATATGCTCTGAACGAGATGAGTTTAGTGACGAGTGTGTATAGTAATTTACCACCCCTATGTCACCTTGCACCTCAGCACAAAATGGACATAGCCTAGGTCACCTTACACACCAGAATAAGAGGGACATTGCTTGGTTAAATCTCTCAAAAGCAATTTGTCATGCATGAAGGTGGGGGGGGGTCCATCCATTCTTTCCTCACAATTTAATTTTTGAAGTAATATGTATGAAACATATTTATACACAAGAAAAGGATCAGTGGATTCTAAAGGGTTCTCACAATGGCGTATAACACAGAAAATGATTTGGTTTTCGGGCTTTTTCCATCGTCCAGTATTCTGGAGAAAAGAAAACACGACGTTTCGGAAACTGGATCCTCAACTGAACGGGGGGGGGGAGAAGACATCTACTAAGTTGGGCCCCTTACAAAGAGGTAATCTCAATCATTGGATACTTCAAAGTATCATAACCTCAAAGGTTGTTTTGTACACACTTGAAATGAAAGCATAATTTCCTAGTACAATTATTTTAATTACTCATTCCAAACCCCAAATTTTCGATCTCATTCTTCATTACTGTTAACACGCACTTTACATTCACCGTAATTTCGTCACTGATATGTAAGAGGTAATCTATTTCTGTTGCAACTGTGTGAATGAATCTTCTGTGCATCGATGCCGTTAAAATCTTATAAATCTGGGGATAAAACTATTACAAAAATCGCCCCCTACTTGAAATTTCAACGAAACACCAATTCCTGTCCCAGCGGCCCTTGGTGTTGCCAACTTCATAAAAATGATATACTCTACTCCTGACCGAGGCCTTAATCTCTGTGACAGAACGTAGTGTTGCAAACATATTTGCTATGAGAGAACGGAGGTAGTGGGAGTGAACGATATTTCTAGGTTAAAATTTGTTTACTTTTTTACGAGTTGTCACGTAGGTCTGTGTAATACTGTGTATTTAAACTTGAATCGTGTATCTGAGGCATATAAAATACAAATGCGTTTTAATGATAGAGAACTTGTTCAAATCAGTTTGGGTGATGCAGAATTGGAGGGGCGACTTAATCATCGCCGCCCCCTTAGCGGCAATTTCAGCCAAAAAGGTAATATAGACATGCCATTTTTATTTCATATAAATGTACATTTCATGCGCATAGATGTTGAAGTTTAGAGTCCAATCTGTTTAGCATAGTTTCACTTTCTCATTGTGTTAGAAACCTGCCCAATTATGTAACGTTCAAAGATAAAGTATGTAGATTTTTCTGATTGCAGGATTCAAGGAGAGATGGTTTAAGCTGAAGTCGAACCTACTTTTCTATTTCCGCATAAGTGAAATTGGAAAAATTTATGAAAAACAGGTATGGTATCTATAGCAGTTTCCCCCTTAATTTAATGTTCTATGTGAAGAAAAAATACGTATTCCTTAGCTTTATATTTATACATTCCTGCACATATTTGTTATTGTGCTTCAGTTCATTATTGGATTTCCCGTTGATTTTGTAAATTCAACTTTCTCTTTTGGATCAATTTTGATAGATACTAGTTATCTGTCAAGAGGTCTGTGCTGTTGATAGGTTACCTGTATTTCACATATATTAGTGATGGTTATAACATTGTTTTGACAAGGGTTTCTTTGTCATGCAGAAAATGAGACTGTAAATTTACATGTTCAAATAATGTGAGGATAGGTTACGGTATATCTACAATATGGTAGTCCGTCACCTTTGATGAGTTTGGATCCACTTGTGTTCTCGCAAGTAACCATAAATAATAATAATAATAATAATAAACTGTAAGCAAAATCCAAATTCAGTTACAGTTCAGGGGGCTTAAGTAGGTTAGAATAAATTTGAGTTAGTTACTCTAAATAAAGCACAAATTTAGAAGGGATTATAAGAGGCCATTACATTATAAATGTTCATAGACCAGTTAGACAAGAGTTGTATTCTTTGTGATTGTGCATCCCTCACTGCTCTTAACTGTCAGTTGTTACGTACATAGATCTTGCTGACAAAGGTAGTAAGATGTACTACAAATAGAGGAATAATTATTTTCTTCTGTTTCCTTAAAATTTACAACACATAAGAACTAGATTGCAAATGGTACATACAAATTGATATCATCATGTAAGAAATGTCATATACCATCTCACAGACATTATTTATATAATTACATAAGTATTTCTACTGCATGTTTTGGTTATATCACCATCATCAGTGGAGGTTACACACAAGTTACACAAAAGGTACTAGAATCGATATACAAATAAAGTTTGTGAGGGAGTATACACAAAAGCCTCTTGCAGCTGTTACACAAACAGGATGCAATAATATAAAATAATAATAATAACAACAACAACAACAACCTCCCCTACCTCCTTTTGCATATGCATGCACATTTGAAGAATGAAACTTGTGACAAAAGTAAAACATCACTGAAACTTTTTATTTGTGTCTTTTTCAGCCTGCAGGAGTGTTTGTACTGGAAAATTCAAACATCCAGTATGAAGTTTGTAATGGTGTCCCGTTTGCATTCTCAGTAACATTTCGTGATGAGCCGGATCGTAAACATTTATTTTCTGGACGATCAGAAGACTATATCCATCAGTGGGTCACTGCTATGAAACAGGCTACGTATGTAAATTTAACTTGCTGAATCCTAAATGTAAAACCTGTCTGTTTACTGGTTTGCCCTAATTTAGTCTTTATTTTCAGATATGGACACTGGAGATCACAACTTGTTATCCTACAAACCAAAATCAATGCCAAAACTGGAAAAGTAAGAGTTCTCTTTACTTTAACCTTTGAAGCATGAAGTTCATCTAAATAGTATTAAACAATTCAGTTCCTACATTAATGTAAACACACTGAAACTCCATGACAAACATAATGCTGCTTAGGGAAATAAAAAAGGTAAAAAAGTAAAGTATATGCATGCTGATTTATGCATCACACCAAGACATATGGGGAAGTGGCAGTATAGGTCCACTGACTCTTATCTCAACACTTGATGATGAGAATGGTCAGTGTCACACCTTGACCACTTTACTACTCTGGAAAGAACTCATGGTACCCATTGGATAGGAGAGTGGGTGGACCCTACACTAGTCTCAACACTATGCAGAAGAAAAGAATCTCATACTCTTGCTAGGAAGTGAAATTTCAAATGCTTGAAGTTCTAAATTTAATTTTTGTGGAAAAATTGCTGGCCCAGCAGGTAAAATCCCAGCATAGGAGGCATAGCAATAAATATATTAATGGAGGTTGTTTCACTTGCAGGATCCACTGTTAATGTATCCACACAATCGGGGAACTGTGCGGGACTTCCAGTCACATCGTGGAAACAAGTCAGTTGGAGCTACTTCATCTAGTTTCCAGTGTCACTTGCGGCAGAAAGTGGAAGTTCGCAAAGATGAAAAGAGAACCTTTGAGAGTCATCTGAAGAGAATAGAAAGTAATTTATGTCAGAGTCATATACAACAAGAGGAACAAAGTGTCCATATGCCTCCAGAGAATCTCATAGAGCTATGAAGCTGTGACCAATGCTTTGCATTGTCGAATATGATTTCAGAGTCCCAAGCACTGGATGTACAAACCAACAGGAGTCCTTCCATAGTAAATAGAAATAGCAGGCTTACACAAATTTCAGGTGCCGGGTAACCACAGCACCTAAAATTTTGATGTTGACACTTTGTATTTTCTACGAAAAACAATTTATTTATTTTCTCTCTTTCCTTCAAATCTCTATCTCCTTTCTCCATTATTGCTTTTCCATCTGTTTTATTTGTCCTAGTGTATTTCCTGCCTCCTTTCTTCCCCCATTCATGTTAAAATAGTTCCATCACCCCTGTTCTTCCATTCCTTTATTCCTATGTCTCCTACCTTTCTGCCATACTGCTTTTTATCCCTTTTATTTATCCATCCCATCATTATTCCCATTCCGATATCCTAACAGTAGAAAAAGATAATCTGGCTTTTTCCCCATATCATAGCCATGGTGCAGTGAACGTTCTCCAAGCACGAAAGAAAATGCATATTATTTATAAGTAGACATATCAGTTGTCCTTTTGTTAATAAGAATGATTAAATTTCTCACCCAAAATATTTTGTTTTTATTCCGGTGCTTAGATTTATATTAAGTTTGTACAGCCCTGAGAAATGTTATCATGTTTGTACATGTTGGATCATGTTAATTGTATAATTTCATCTGAAAATGAAACCAGAATGAAGCATGAATTCTGCCGTTTGCTTCCTGCTTCATGCCGGTTTCTTGCTTGGCTTGTTCTTTGATTCTGAAGATGGACGTAACATGTTTCTCAGAAACATCAGTCAATTTTCAGTGGACTACACAGCATTATATTGTATCCAGAAGATACAACACGCCTCATTACATTTGCCAACCAAAGTTCTGAATTTATTTCATGTTTGCCCATTCACGTTACTTGTTTCATCTCATCTTTCTTAAATTACTTACCCTAGCAGTACAGGCTATAACCTTTAGGTATAATAATAATAATAATAATAAAATGGATGTGATGTGGATTGAACTTGCTCAATCCCATGAGACACTCATGGTGAGAGTGATATAATATCAAGGAAAAGCTGAGTAAATGTATACTGGTTAAGAATGTCTTTGTATTACTATGATCCTTTGTAGATGCTGCTGCAGCAGAAAATTTAAATTAAGGGATAATCGTATTTCTGTTCTGGAGTGATGACACTATGTTTTATTGGGCTCAGTTTCTGACATTTCAAAGTACCTGACTCCATCGAAATTTATGAGCGCCAGCTGTCTGGTTGCTTTATGTTGAAGGCAGAGACAGACAAGTTCTACAAGTCACAAAATCAGATCAGTACACTATGATGTATCTTCACCCAAGAATAGAAATAAGAATAAGCACGAACTACCATGAAAGCCCAAAGACATATATAAATTAAAAGCTATTTAAGTAACAAAAATAAAATGAATGCAGTAAACTCCTGATTATCCCATATAATCAGTAATAAGAATATGCAACTAACTTGTGAATTGGGACTTATAAAATGATGCAAACGTTTATAAGTGCATTTTACTCAAATGCTGTTAGTAGATATGAGTGTGGTTCTGAGAAGCTTCTTTGCTGTTTCTACACATTAAAAAGAAAAACCAAACAAAGAAAACCATCTCAAGTTTCCAAGTACATATTCAGCCGCAACATAAAATTCCCTTTGTTTTGTACTTGTTCCTTTTTAAAAAGCGGTTTCACACAAAGTTTATCTTTTGACATTGGATACACCAGTCAGTTTTATAAACAAAGCACTTAAATAATCTGCCCTTGGTTAATTGGAGGTCTACAGTATTTTACTATGCTGAATATGGCAACAGGTAACAGCTCACTGCATCCTGCATTTAATACAGCAGAATTGCCACATAGAGTAGAACATCCATTTAATGTTTCTCAATGTTTCTAACATTCATTTTCAGTGCTCCCAAGTAAGTAATCAGTGTTAAATTTCCTGCATTTAAAATTTTCCTCAGTTTGTTGTTCAAATACACTACTCTTAAACACTTAGAACTCTTAAATGCAGATTTCACTGTTATGTGGAACCAATAATTTGGGTTCCATGCATTTTGTTACATAGAAGTCAAGAATGAGCACACAGATATGTGTGAAATTCGAGATTTTGTCAGCAGTGCATATTAGCATTGTGGTCTTTTGCTGTGTGATGCCATGTAGTCTGGTAGGTACATACATATTTTGGAGGAACTTGCTGCTTCTGTCTTCAGATGTTTATCAGACTACACATAATCTTATGAAACAAACTGATACTTTGGTATTCTTTTCAGTGTAAAATATCAAAACGTTATCCTGCTGGTATTAATTTAATTCTTTGTTGATTTATTTATTTTATTGCTTAAGAGAAATTGTTATGTTATTATTATTTATTTATAGGAATTTTTCATAGATCTCTGAATATGACTGACTGTAAACATGTGCATTGTATAATTACATATATGCATAATTTTAAATCTCTTTAGTATGTATTATATGTGAAATATCCATATAAAGTTGTATTTAATTTTAGGATGCTTAATCATCATTTAGATTACACAACAAACCTGCTCATACAGGAATCTAAACTGGTCAGCATATCATATACAAATTGCAGTCATACCCCCTTTTAATGTTTCTCAATTTAAAGATTTTTCCCATTTAACATTTAGTTTCACTGATCCCAAATCAATATTCTCAGTGTTGAATTTGCTCCACTGAAGATGTTCTGTAGTTTAATGTTCAAATCCACTACTCCCAAAATAAATATTAACTGGGGGTTTCACAGTACTTCACTAATGAAAAAGGCATAGCATGTGTGAAGAATTTCATGTTGGAATTGGTGTATATTTGAACGTTATAGGTACTAAAATATTTGCAGATAAATAAATCGTCTATTTTCACAAGTTTTTTAGTTCTAATAAATAAATCACTGCACCAATAAAACTTACAGTAATCACAAAACAGACTGAATCCCACTGTCTGTTAAATCATATAGTCATATGATCCAACACTACCAAAAAGCTTGTCTTTTTTTTTATTTTTGATTATATGGGTTCTAAGTCCCACAGTTATTTCTAGACTTACATGTGACCAGATTTTAGAACACAAGCAAACTACGGGAGTGTAAGACATAAGTTCTTCAGCAGCATTTTCCAGGAAATAGACGTGTCTTATGTTTTGGAAAATACTATAGTTATTCACTTGACCCTTTGTCTGTGAAGTCCTGACGCAGTACTACCTACTGGAAATGCCAAGACTGTGTTTGGGTAAATTCAGTTGGAGACTGAAAAAACGTTTGAATCAACATTTTCTCTTTCCCAGTTCAACCTTGAATATCTGAGACTTGCACATGCCTCCAAATTAGTAATTAAGCTGTAGCAGAGAAGTGGAAATACAGTACGGTTTCATACTAAAGCTTTAATGAAGTGGTGCCCAGAAGATTGAGACAATAAAAGATTGTAATTTTAGTGCCTTAGTATAAGAATACCCATTTACACAAACTTTACATGAACACAATTTCATATCATTTTTTTAAATAATTAAAAGAGAAAATGAGATTTGTACATGGCTAAAATGAATTAAATTAAGATTAACATATTCACTGCCATGCCTTCATACCAGACCAGCGATTTTTCTACAAAGACTGGATTTTGAACATACTAATTTCTAAGTGGAGGTGGAAGACATTTTGACTCTTTCAAGCTTCGACATGCTACACGTTAAGTTTCTGTGCATTTGACTAACAACTGTAGGAGAAAATAACATTTATGTACACAGTAACAACAGGATGTCACTTGACAGGATCATCACTGGCACCCAGTAAACATGAACTTACCAGATGACAGAATTGACAGTGAATTTGTTACTTTAATTATGTACTTATCAATGACTATTATGAATGGTGACACCAGAAAATCTGAAGTTATACGATTCTGAGTTAAACAATCACTCTTGGGCATATGCCTATGATATAATTTTGAGGAAACCAGTGTAACATGTACGGTCAAAGAAACAAAGTAATATAACCAGCAGATGTAAATAATTTTAGAAAATTTTATTATTTTATTGTAATTAGCTTCAATGAAATGTGTATATCTTGTGTGAAATACACTGTGACTGTCCACTTTCAAACAGCAGGAACTTGCATTACATTTTAGCCTAGTTTCCTTATTCTTTGAGAAAAATGAAGAGCCTGTGGAATTGCCATGTTTATGTGTCTTTTTCTGTGCCATTTAACCTTAAATTATCTGTGAAAGACACATACTTTCTTTCCATAATGTGAACTACATGTCAGTCATCCAGAATCTATATTTATTTTTGTGTTTCACTCATCAAGAACATCTTTTACAGTATTAAAATACTGAATGTGGCCATCATTTTAGACATCTTAAACATCCATCTCCCTTTGGTTGATATTTTAAGATACTTTCTGGAATACTGTCAGATCTCACCCTATCAAAAGCGATTTTCTAATTTCTGTTGTACTCTTGTATAAATTCTCTTCTTTGTGAAATTTATTTCATTTTTTTTTACAGTCTGAAACAGTTTAATCCACAGTCCTCGTGAAACACATTTCTACTCATATCACTTCTCTCATCGGGGGCACACAGTAGCGTAGTTAGTTGAGGCACTATGCTACAAGCCGGAAGGACACAGGTTTGAGTCCTAACAAGGTCATTGGATTTTCCAATTGACCTAATCCTTCCATCTGCACTATGGCCCTGGGGTCAACTCAGCCTATAACAGAAACGAGCAAAGGACAGCTGGCGCATAACGCTGATAACCTCACTGTCATCTGTGAGCTGACTTGTCTGGAAAATGTAGGAGCTTCAACCTCTCACAGCCCTATGGACCTCCACAGCCTGTTACAGGGGTAGCTTTACCTTTATCAGCCCCGTCATCAGTTCTCATTATCCGTGATTCAGTACCACAAGATAATGTTGTTCCACATCTCCACAGTTTATTAATCACAATCATCCAACTAATAACCTGTGCAGGAGAGAAAATTTAATCAAATAGGCTATAAAAGAAAAACTGGTTAAATTCAAGGCACATCTTAGAGCCATCTTCCTTCTCTCCGCCTCTCATAAAGAATGGACCACTCTTTTATATTTCTACAGATTTATGGCCTACATGGGGTCAAACATATCATTATTTGATAAAGGTAAATTTCTCCCTGTGCTTAATTAAGCATCATGCCAGTAAGACATGGTGGAGTGGAGGTACAGCTCCATACATTTTTAACCTCGGCACTAAACAGAGGTGACTGGTCAAGTTTATGAACCTGCCACTTCAGCCCTGGGAAAAGAGACCCCAGTATGCACTAGGTAGGAGGTTGGGTGGGCTCCAGAGCCAGTCTGGACTTGATGTCGATGAAAACAACCTCCAGAAATCAAAACCTGATTTATAGCTCATCCACCACATTGGTTAGTCACTGTACCAAATGAGCTGTTCTGGCTCCTAATGCCCCTTTTAATGCCTCACCAATTGCAAAGGTTTATTTACTACATACTGGTATAGAAGGTGGCATATTGACAGTTTCCAGCATCAAGTCCTCCGAATGCTTGTTGATTCAGTGACACTGTCTCAGCTGCATGTAAGAACAAAAATACTCAGTATAAATAATTTCCAGGTTGAGATATGAACCATGGCCCAATGAATGACACATGAATAAAGAAGTGTGTGAGAACAAAAAAATAAAATTACTTAATTTATTTATTTATGGAGCATTTAATGCTGCTGTCAGTGCCTCTAGCTGTGTAGTGTTAAATGGTAAGATGATCATAATGAATTGCAAGAGATGTGGAAAGAAGCAGTTGTGGCCAAATTTGAGGTCCTATTCTGGAATTTGCCTGGAGAGACTGGAAAACCACAAGGAACCCACAGTCAGAATAGTCTGTCTCAGCCAAGATTTGAAACAGATTACTGCCTGACTGAAGTAGCTCAGTTACAAATTACAGAACTCAAACTCAGGACTCATGTAATAATGGCATTAAGACTTGACTGCTTTCTTTACATAGTAAAAATAGAAATTGCATATGCTGAGCATCATCTGTAACCTACTATCAGCACCTGAACCACTGGTCTGAATACTTTTTATATTTGACCCTGAAGACCTGCATTAAACTTGTCAGGCAATTTCAATTTTTATTAAAATCAGGCAACAATAAGCAACATTACATGGCAATATACATACCATTCTGTGCACACTTTGAGCGCAATTCATTAAATATTTAATGGTGCAAAAATGCTTCAAACAAAATTTATAGAGAAAAATGAAATATAGTTTATGTCTCACATACCTTTCCAGTAAGTCTTATGGGTTTTCCGATAATTAAATAGAAACTTCTTTTTTTCTATAACTTCAGATCAACAGGACTAATGTCACCTCGCATCAGTTCCTACACTAATGGGAATATTTTCTTTTAACTTATTGAAGATGTTAACTATAATATTATATTTAAGCATCCTGTTGCACTCCACACGATAAATGATACAAACTCCGTCCCAAGTGCAAACAATATATTTTGTGTCCCTTGATTTTGTCTCCTACACTACATGTTTCGGCCTCAGACGGCCATCATCAGGTGTATATCACTCACTTCGCTGTCACACTGCACCCAGTTCAAAATTTAACATCTAAATACTCTCCCTGTCATTATCAACTTCTACTTCGTTGATAGCTGTCCACCCGTAGATTACTTCACACACGTTAATTTTGACTTTATTGTAATAGCACCATAATAAAATCTTTAGTTCTAATTTTAAAACTTTAAATTCTTGTCCAAATTTTAAAATTTTAAAATTGTTAGGGTTATTCGCCCTGTGTTTGAAGTGCTGCAGCGGCTAGTTCTTGTTTCCACACTGTATAGGTGTTATCTGTAATATACAAATATATTTGTATTACTATCTTATGTTTGTGGTGTTTTCTTATGTGTGTATATTGTTATTTGTACTTACCCTGTGTGGTCTTTCTGTGTGCGTGCCGCTGCTATTCTTTACGTGTGCTGTCTGATGTACTGTGTGCTGAGTTTTATGTTTGTGAGTGTAGGGGGGAATGGGTAGTGGGGAGAGGAAGGTACCGTTAGTCTGTATAGATTTCGTGTATCGTTTGAAATATGGGATTGTGTGTTTCTATGTGTGTATCATTCATGTGTAGGCCTTTCTTACTTATTTTATATATATGGTATTTCTCTAATGTATTCAAATGTCTGCCTTTCTTTCCCGTTGTTACAACTTCCATTACCTCTGTTATTGTTCCGTATGTATGTCCTGTATTTAGTATGTGGTTTGAGTACCCGGAATTGCTATCATTATTCCTAATATCATGTATATGTTCTTTATATCTAGTGTTAAATGTTCTGCCCGTTTGCCCAATGTATTTCAATGGGCAATCTACACATTTCATTTGGTATATGCCACTTTTATTGTATTTATCTAATTGTGGTTTGTGTTTGAGTATATTTTCTATTGTGTTTC